TAATTTAGTTTTTATAGTTTTAATTCGGTTGTAACTTAATTATTAAATCTTGATCTGATCTAATTCGGTTCTTATAATTTAGCTGTTTAAAGGATTTGCACTAGTCCCTATATTTTAGAAAATCAAATCATATATTTCATGAAACATAGATACTATGATTTTAAATGATTAATTAAAGCTACATAGAAAATAAGTTGCATAAAGTTAAAGTTCTGAATCCAAGATTTAATTGAGTTAAAACTATAAAATATTTTTTTGCATTGAGTGAAAGTTTAATAATTGAGTCACAGTCGAGTAAAAAATTATAAGAACGAGAAGATTAATTTTTCCTGGATATAATTAAGCTTTTGTTTCTTCAATTTACAAATATTATACCTATCTCTTAAGAGTGACGTAAACAAATGAAAAATAATATACCGAATCCCTTAAAACTTTTTACTGTAAAAATTTCTCATATCATGTTTTAAAAGTAGACAAAATAAAAGGACAGGCCACTTGTTGATTGCTAGAGTGCCCTATCACTTTCGGGGGCAAAAAAACATTGAAAAGCTAGCTTGAATGAGCTGGAAATTGAGAAGAAAAGGCCAACTTGTTAATAGCAAGCCAATCTTTTATGCGTTGAACTTGTCAGCGAAATGGTTAGTTTGGATTACTTGCTGCCATAAGTTTCGTGAAGGTGAGGGTGATTAATGTACGCTGTCGATTGCCCGTGAGGCTGCTGTAAAAACGTGCTCTCGTCAAATCCTCTGGGCACAAGTTAGCGCCCCAAATTCCAATTTACTTTAAAGATGTTAAGCAATTTTTGGTGACTACCGCAGAGTACTTTTATGCTGTGTTTGGCTTTACGGGTGGAAAGAGATGGGAGGAATTTTAATCAAGAGAAAGGGAAGGGCTACAAAGGAGAGGGGAGGCAGGAGAAGGGAGGGAAGAGATTTTAATGATCTTTTGTTTGGATTGATTGGAGGGGAGGAAAGGAAGAAATTTTAATGATACCTTATTTTGTTCTATTAAAAAATTGATTATTTTAACTTCATAAAATTTAAATAAATTTTCTCATTTTTTTATTTTATCAAGATATAACTATACATATAATACAATTCACCAATTTTGATTTACAAGATACAGTCACACGCTTATAGGATATCAAAATAAAAAGTCGTGAGTGATAAATTTTAATCAGAGAAAAGACTTTGAAGGTGAAAGAAAATACCGACAACCTCTTGGAATTAGAAGAGGAGAAAAAAAAAAGTTCACAAATACTCACTAATTTCGGAGACAATTATCTTAACAACCTCTTACTAGATATTCAAAAGAATTCTCTTATGTAGAAATATTTACAACTGATTAGGGGTTAACAAATCGAAAGGATATATGAGAAATTAAAATATTATCTCTCATCTCCCCTCAAAAAAACCCCACTCTTAGAGGGGAGGTTAAAAAGAAAGAAGAAGAGAGTAGAGCCCATTTCCTCTTTAAAAAATATCTTAACCAAACAACAAGAGAGAACAACAGGAGAGAAGTAGGAATTGGATTCTCTTCACTACCCTTCCCATCCTCTTCCCTTCCACCACCCTCATTTTCTCTTCACAACCATTGAATCAAAACTCCAATGGTCCAGATTTAATATTTTATAACATTTTATAAAAATAAATATTATGATAAAAAATAGATAAATAAATTTAAACTGTTAAAATCTAATCTGAACAATTCATAACTACAAATTGTTATTATAGAGCAAATTTTTTTTAATTTTTTTATTACAATTGTAAACTGTTCAGACCAGATTTTAACAGTTTAAATTTATTTATTTATTTTTTAATAATATTATTTTTATAAGATGTTAAATCTGGACCATTAGAATTTTGATCCAATAGTTGTGAAGAAAAAAGAAGGATAATGGAGGGGAAGAAGAAGATGAGAAGATAGTGGAAAGAATCCAAATCCAGAGAAGTAACTCTCCTCCCTTTCTAAAAAATTATACCAACCAAATAAAAAGAGGAGAGCAACTTCCCTCCCCTCTGAAAACCGTACCAAATATAGTGTTAAATTTGACGCCGGCCATGCGTCAACCCTGTAAGAGAAGAGGTAAAGCAGTTCAAGCCTAAAGCTGCCCGGATTAGTACCCTGCACACGGTGCTCTCTTCAGTTGTTGCTTTCACTCAATGTGAGGCAAATGAAACATTTATTATTGGTTGCCTTCGGCCGCCTACATTGTAAAATATTAATTATTCATGTACCATCATTATAAGAATTATTTAAAAAAATAAATAAATATAAGAGACAAAATAAATTAAAATTGTATATTTAAAACTAAGTTAAATATTAAATTAGTCTCTATATTAAATATCCGTATATCATCCAGACTCTAGAGAAAAAATCACAAGCAAGAAGTGAAGTACCTAAGTAATCAGAAATTTAAAATAACCGGAATACACGCCCACACACATACAACACACACACACACACACATTTATGAATCCACACCGTCCACTGTTCTGTTTCCCCACAATTTCAAATATCAGAATGCAGCACGAGAGGCAGATCATAAGACTAATTAAGTATTTCGCCCTTTATCCCGAAAAGCAGGGGGGAAAAAACGAAGCAAATTTTAAAACATAGACAGACGGATTTAATTTCAAATTGCTAGCGGTTGACAGCTAGTGGGTGGGAGACAACTGTGTCAGAAGCAGCTTGCGAGTTGCGATCTACGAGGATATACAAACAGCCCCTGATGAGAATGAGATGACATTTAAAAATGCAGAAGCAGAGACGGGGGCTTAGGAGAAAGCATGCATGTGAGAAACATCTAGAATACTGCTAGAAATAAAAATGAGGGAATAACTTTCTCGGACATGGGAAAGTCGGCGTGGATATCTCAGAAGTTAAGCGTAAACTTAATTCTCAAGATAAAACCCACGAGGATTTGCACTGCTTTGCTTGGCAAGCAACAGGCTAGCATGAGCAGCGAGTTCTTCACTCTCTCTAGTATAAAAAGGGGAACCATATGAAAGCCCTCTTCTGCTATAACATTGCAGCGTCAATGGCGTCAAGCTCCGGTGACTGGACGAGGAAGCAGAACGAAAGGTTCGAGAATGCATTGGCAATGTACGAGGAGGACGCCCCAGATCGATGGCAGAAGCTGGCAAGGGCGGTGGGAGGAAAGACGGAGGAAGAAGTGAAGAGGCATTATGAGAAACTTGTTCATGACCTCAGGCAGATTGAGGAAGGTCAGGTGCCTTTGCCCAATTACATAATCCCCAGCTATACCCTTCAATTGCAAGGATGAACACCAAAGGTGAATTAATCATTAGTTGCATTGTTTATTCTCCATTCTCACGGTTTCACAATGTTTATATGTTTGGGTCTGATGAAGCTTATGGTATTTGTTGATGGCCGAATAAAGGCTTTGAAACTGAAGTGTGGCGGCAGCAGAAGCAGCGACGGCGAAGATAACCAAAATGCATTGATTCACCTAAATGGTTTGCTCCTAATTAACTGATGAGGATATTCAAATCGCAAATGTCGTGATTTGGTTTCATTTTACATTTTTCTCTCTGTGCATGCGTGTGTGTTTTTGAAGTTTCAACGCCTTGGGATTCCCATAAATGTAAAGATCAGTTTCATGTTGCATGAGAAATCAAAAACATGCTAGCTGGTTGAGATATGGTAGAATATAAGGCATGTGATGACTTTCGGTTAAGCTTTTCTCTTGGATCTGGATGTATATTCAAGATCGCATTTCCAAATTCGTAATGAATTATTCCATCGGGAGACCTGAACGGAATGTGGTGTTTGTAGTAGTTTAAAAAATTAAAAAATTAATTAAGTCAGTCCATTATAACAAATATACATCAACATTTCTAAACAATTTTCCTTATTCATGTGCATTAAAACTGTCATTTAATGAAAATCCCTTATTATTAATAAGAATATTTTAGGAAAAAAACACTGTAAGTAGATTGAATGAAATGGCTAGTAATATTTAAACTAGTGTGTACATTAAGTGAGGGGTAGAATTTTTTAAAAAAATCATTCTGGTTTATATAATTCATACATTTTGCTTTCTGCCTAATTTATTTTTTTTAATGAAGATAAGTAAACAACAAAGGAAAAATATTATTAATTAATAATCAGCTGGGAAGAGTTCCTACAATAGATTTGAACTGCCTGTTCCTATATTGGACATGAACATATATACATATAAAATATCACTTGAAAATTGGCTTCACTTATGATGCAATTTTCTTGTTAATCGTTATCGATGTAAAATATAAAATTTATATTGAATTATATTATCAATAAAATTTCTCTGTTTTTTTTTATACAAAGGAAAGCAATAAAAAAAAGAAAAACCAAAGACTACCTTATGCCTTCAGAGGCTAAAAAAGCTGAAACACTATCAGGGCTTGGGATCAGAAACTGGGGTTATCATTGAGAGCTATCAATTGGATATTTGACTTTATTTTAAAGTAATTGTTATTTTGAATTTTTAAGAAAGTATTAGCTAATTTCATGATTAATCAATAAAATTTTTTATTTTACTATTTTAGACATTATAATAAATAAAGATATTTCAGTAAAATATCATTATATTTTGTTAAAATTCAAATATATACTTCTCTGGTACTTAATGTAGATTTAATTAACTAATCTAAATAAATTAAGGATATTAATGAAATTAGTTAATCTGATAGTATGTCTTTTCTAAAATATTTTAAATGTCTTCTTTAATTTTTTTACTTTTTTTTCTACTTGATTATTATTGAAAGAATATTAATAGAATTAATTTGAAAAAAATTAATAAATATGAGAATTATGTCTTATATATAAAATAAATATCAATTCTCTAATTAGATTTTATATTAAGAAATGGAGAAGTATTAGTTTTTTAATCAAAATGCAAAACTTCAAAGTGATTAATCATTCCAGAACGGAGGGAATCCTACTGTTAAGGTAGTTTAAAAAGACCGTGGGACAGTCGTGACTCGTTGTTAGAAGGCATTTTCTCCCGGAGAGTGGGGAGGAAATCACAAGAAAACTCGTATATTGATATTGAGTAGAGTATCGATATCGATATCGACTCGCAATTAACATTTAACAGTCACAAAGTTCCACGCTGGGGCTGGCTGTACCTGAATCTAGTATCTAGTGGCTGCGGCGCCCTGCTTCGTAGCTTTAGTTCCCGCTTATTTTTTCCCCCTTTGATTTCAACTCTGCTGATATACGTGAGAGCTTGCAATGGAAGCCGACGCTTCGTCATACAAGGTACACAAATTACAATCTAGGGTGCATGCCTTTCTTTCACTCCAATTGTTTCTGTTGTTGAATCGTTTCCCCCAAAACACATTATTGGCATTTTCCCTCTTTCCCCCTCTTTTCGTTCTAAGTTCAGCTTCTTGTATCATGGTTAGTTTTTTAATGAATTCATGATTCATCGAACCGTTGTTATTTTGACGTACTTTTGCTGTTTGCAGATTATATTGGGCTCATCCTCTATTGCACGCCGGAAGATATTGGCTGAAATGGGCTACCAATTCACGACAATGGTATATTCTTGCTTGGGTCTTTCGTGGACGAAATCTCCCTAGCTTTTAGAATTTGTGTTAATCCTCTTTTGCTTAGACCGCAGATATTGATGAGAAAAGCATCCGAAAGGAAACTCCTGAAGAGTTGGTCATGGCTTTAGCTGAAGCCAAGGTTTGTTTTGTATGCTAATATTTGTTGTTTGCTTCTGTGAAGTGAAATTACTTATAATACCTAATTCTTTGGCTGATATTTGATCCGTAGCTTATCGGTCTATAGATAGGGAGATTGTCATCCGAACAAAATTGAAGGAATCTTGATGCGAGTCAAATGTTGGATTAACAACAACAACAACATTATTATTATTTTATTTTGTATAGGAGACCTTAAGGAGATATGTTACCCTAGCTTCCTGGAATCACCTGAATTAATGTTTTCTTTCCTTTTTTTCCTGTTTCTGCCTTGTTTTTTGCTTGTCCATTTTACCTTTACTTTAAGACCCTAATGGAAGAACGTGTTTAGATAAAGTATTCTCTGATTCTAAATGTGAATCACATGTCAGGCTGATGCCATCATCTCAAAACTCCAAACAACCAATAGTCAAGAGGCTGTTGATGAATCGACAATTTTAATTGCAGCGGACACAGTATGTCTTTTTTCCTTCTCGTTGATGACCTTGGATTTAGTGTTGCAGCTATTAGGTTGGTTCTTCACCAAGGCCATTTATTTATCAAGGATCCAAAATTTCCTTTTAGAGGACACATTGCATACCAGATTCTACTTAACTGAGCTTGCTTTTTGGGGCATCCATCGTGGGGACACAAGTACTTCATTCTCTGTTGCATAATCATAAACCAAATGTCCTCTTGTTGACCTTATTATCGACGACTGATGGAAACCAGAATTATACTGGCGCTAAAGTGTTCTTTTATTGAGTTGATATAACATATGATAGAAAAATATTACATTCAAAGGAACGGATGCACAACTCAATCAGAATATAAACAAGAAAATAGAAGCTATAATGCAAAATAAAATGCTCCCCCGACTTACTAGATGCTGGGGACTCTCCCCAAACTAGGTGAAATTCTTCCCTAACCTTCAGAATTGCACTGACACGTGCTACTTCCCTGAGAATGGAATGTAAATGGAAGATTAAGCAGTTTATTCATACCTTTTTGGTTCTGATTCTGTATGTGTATCTGTTCCTTATGGTAAGTCAGTTCGCATTTTTATATCCTGTTTCAGTGCTTGCATGGGTTTGCTTCTAATTTTTCTCTCGTTGTAGCTCTTATCTGACGATTTCATATGATAATTTACTTCTTGCAAAATGCTGTTCTTAGCCAGTTGTCCCGCAGCTAATCCTCAGGTGCTTACTTTAGCTTATGATAATTTTTACTTAGGCAGAAGCTATTTTAAAGAGGCTCCCCGTTGATGACCACATAAAGGATGCTGAGCCAACATTATTAATTACCTCTGATCAAGTACACATCATATCTTCTAATTAACTCTTTTCTGGATCTTCCTTGTACATGTTCTGCTTATCAATGTGCATAAATTATCATATCCTTGCGAATGGGATTTTCTAAAGGCGGAATTGCAATAATGCTATCATAAAACACCATCAGCAGTGTCATTGTGGCTAAAGAAGCCTTTGGCCGGTTTGGTGTCTCATAAAATACTAGGGTTATTAACAGCACAAAAATATTTAGACTGTTCAATTAATTTGTATATCCTGGCATCTTGGCTGCAATCCTAACTAATCTCCATTTTCAAGTGCCCAAACTTGCACTTCTGTGTGCTCTGTATCCTCATAAATAAAAGGCCAACTGGTGACAACCTCCTGCAACAGAAGAATTGCAACTTCCTTTTCTTTCTCTGAGGCAAAGCTTGCATATGTCTAACATTTGCTGTTAAATGATTTGGAGGTGGTGGTCTATGAAGGCGTGATAAGGGAAAAGCCATCTAACAAAGAAGAAGCTCGACAATTCTTGAAAGGTTTGTGCAATGTTATCTTTGCTTCATTTATCAACAAGGAGAAAAAACCGCTTTTCCTTCCAGCTCCCTCTTTCTCACTCACCTCCTCCTATGGTTCTTATTTGGACTTCTAATCACTTCCTATAGATCTCTATTTTTAATGGTTCAATACATGTCTTCAGATTATTCTGGAAAGCATGCAGCAACTGTAGGGTCTGTGCTAGTTACAAACCTCAAAACAGGGTTCCGTAAAGGAGGATGGGATCGTGTGGAGGTATTGTTTGCTTCTAACTTTGCTTTTCTTTGTTCTTTTGGTTAATATTGTCTCAGTTTGCCCCCTAGTTTATCGTTTCAAAACCGATCTATTATTTCTCCTGTATATATATGAGACCAATTCCTGCCAAAAAAAATATTAACAGGAAAAGAATGCTCATTCTCTAGTGACTTGCTACTAATGATTCTTTGTTGGGGTCTCGGGGAACATGCAGTTAGTCACAGTTAATTGCTCGACATTGGAATAAATCTATAATGGATTCCAGCTCACTATGTTTTGGAATAAAATTTTATAGATATGCTACATGAAAGTCAGTCGTTATTAAACGTGGCACGGTTGCTTTGGTTTCTACTCATTGCTTAAGCCAGCAAATGTTGGGTCTTCCCATTCGTTTGCTATTAGTTTCTACATAGATGCGCTCCTTTCCGTGTTCGCTACTCTATTTTCTTACCCTATGTGGAAATGATTTTGTTTTGTGATTTACAGATATATTTCAATGAAATACCAGATGAGATCATCGAGAAGCTGGTAATGATTTCCTTTATTACATTGCTTCGCTATCTTAAATTGCCGTACAAAATAGTTGATACTGACCTTTTTTTTCCTTCCCAGGTTGACGAGGGAGTGACACTCAACGTTGCTGGGGGTCTCATAATTGAGCATCCTTTAATATTACCATTAGTCAAAGAAGTGGTAGGTTGGCTCATCTTATGTGATTAGCAGTCACAATGCAAAATAATTTATGGCCTGGACGATAGTCGTGGCCCTGTCCTTGCAAGGATGAAGATTTTTGGTCGTCTCGCCTTCCTAATCCTACTGTGGACTGGTTAATTCTAAGCGGTGGTATATATTTGCAGGTAGGGACAACGGATAGTGTGATGGGACTTCCCAAAGCTCTGACTGAAAATCTCTTAAAGCAGGCCGTGTAGCTGTCGCTGCCCTTGCGCCTTGGCAGACTAATTAATTTAAATGACATTAACCAAACTCTGCATTTTCTGAGAACAGTAACACTATTCTGCCGAAATGTCGTGGCTGTCATTTCTGGGCTGTTTCTGGCAAGATGGCCAGTTTGCACAATTGTTTTGTTTTGGTAACATATCGACATTTGAGTTCTAATTTATCATATAATAACCAAATGATTAGTTTGAGTAGACTAAAAGCATTTGTTAAGTTAGTTAGTTGTAATAAACATATATATTTTTTAAGAATATTCTTACTAAGCATGCGTATTTAACATATACAATTACTATAATAATTATTTTAAAAAAATAGATAAATATAAAAGACAGAATAAATTAGAATCTTAAATTAAAAATTAAACTAAATTATTATATTAAGGATCGGCAAAGTATAACGTACTGATGTTTTTGTGATGGTTCACTTGCATGGTTATTCGGGTCATGAGTTCGAAGGATATTTTTTTGGGAAAAATTACGTACAGGTCTCACAGAAAGCAATTTATTCATCTAAGGTCCCACGAAATGTCAAAATCACTTACAGGTTCCAAGGGATCTCAGAGTAATATTTTTGATTTGTAAAATGACATTACTGCCCCTCATATTCCAGATTCACATTTCCTCTGTCATTGCGATTTACAACCTCAGCAGCGACTATTAACAACCCAATGAGAGGGCATTAACAACCCTAGCAGTATCCGTTAACAACTTACTTTATAGAATCATATAACCTCCACATAAGAGTAAATTATAACCAAATAGTATAATACAACAACTTTAACACTAAAATGGAAAGCTTTTTGATATCATTAAGAATTTTAACTAAATCCAATAGGATTATAGTAATATTTTAATGCGAAGATCCATTTACAACCTTAGCAGCGACTATTAACAACCGAATGAGAGAGCATTAACAACCTAAGCAGTATCCGTTAACAACTTACTTTATAGAATTATATAACCTCCGCATAAGAGTAAATTATAACCAAATAGTATAATACAACAACTTTAACACTAAAATGGAAAGCTTTTTGATATCATTAAGAATTTTAACTAAACCCAATAAGATTATAGCAACATTTTAATGCGAAAATCCATTCACAACCTCAACAGTAAGTATTAATAACCTAAGGAGAACTATTAACAACCTTAGCAATGTCTGTTAACAACTAACTTTATCAGATAATATAACTTCTAACTATAACTAACTAAATTATCACTAAATAGTCTTAAAGTTAATCTTATATAGTTGTTAGAGGTTATATTATCCTATAAAGTCAGTTGTTAACAAATACTGCCTAGATTGTCAACAGTTCTCTTTGGGTTATTAATACTCACCGTTGAGGTTGTAAATGGATCTTCGCATTAAAATGTTGCTATAATTCTATTGGGTTTAGTTAAAATTCTTAATGATATCAAAAAGCTTCCCATTTTAGTATTAAAGTTGTTGTATTATACTATTTGGTTATAATTTACATTTATATGGAGGTTATATGATTCTATAAAGTAAGTTGTTAACGGATACTGCTTAAATTGTTAATGCCCTCTCATTCGGTTGTTAATAGTCGCTGCTAAAGTTGTAAATGGATCTTCGCATTAAAATATTACTATAATCCTATTGGATTTAGTTAAAATTCTTAATGACATCAAAAAGCTTCCCATTTTAGTGTTAAAGTTGTTGTATTATACTATTTGGTTATAACTAGTACAGTACCCGCGCGATGCACGGGTATAAATTAAGGTTTTTTTATATATTATAAAATGTTGAATAATTACAAAATAATTAGTGAAGATCACATTTTTGCTTCAAGTCGTCATTTTAGCTTAATATGTATAAAAAGTAAAGTTTCTGTAAGTTTTCAAGGCATGCAAAATATATAGAGTCATTATCAACATATTATTTTTCAGTATTATACCCCATATTTAAATAAAACCCAATATCTGACAACTTGACCTCTTTTAAGAAGTTAATCATGCTAAAATCAATGCATACTCAACATCAACAAATTCAACATAGTTACTCCCAAATCAACCTTATTAATATTCCCCCAGTAATAATCAAGTAAGAGAGGAAGGGAAGGAATTAAGGAAAATGCTTATGATGTTTTTTTAAAAAAATCATATTAACCAATTAAACTAATATCATTAATCTATTTAAATTAGTTAATTAGTTCTTATATTAAAGACTAAAAGAATATTTTATATGTTTGAGGTGGATTCTGGTCTCTATATTTCAGCATTCACCCTCAAAATCAAAGAAAATCTAAAACAGTTGCTAAATCAAATCAAATCAAAATCAAAATATTAGGATTAATGGGATTTTGATTCTTCCAAGGCTATATATGACTGATGTAAAATAAAGAGTAAAATTTGACATATGGATGGTAAGATAGAGAGTAAGATAGCATTATTAAAGAAGTGGTAAGGAGTTGAAATCTAAAATATAAATATTTGCAAATCAAGACAGCAAAAATCATGATTCGATGAAGCATTATCAAAAGAAATCTAGTTAGAAAATATGAAATCGTGCACCCAAATAAATCGGGGTGAATCAAGGAAGTTATGTCATTTTCATATATTTGTAATTTAAAATTTTTAATATTTATTCTAGATCTTTATTTTAAGAACAAACAATTCAACCAAAATAATTTAAAAAGGAACATTGCAATCTAGATCTTTATTTTAAGTCAAATGATACTTAACAATGTGTGAAGATGCCCACGCTCTAAGGTTGTGATTTACTGATATTTTAGGTCTATTAATAATTAATAAAAGATACAATTATAATTATTAGGGATTTCTTTCAGAAGATTGCCGATAAATATATAATAAAAAATTGCCACACGGTTTCTGGATTTTGTGAATATAGTTCTTTCTATAATTTATCCATTTATAGATCAATTTAAATATTAAGTGGCCAATTTAAGCGGATATATTGGAATATTAGCAACATGAGTGGAAATATGGATAAAAAATGTGGCCTTTTTTTAAAAGAAAAGAAAAAAAATTTATCTGCTCATAGGTGATGCCACTTGTCATGCTACCAGCAACTCTTGTTTTGTACTCTACTTTTATATATTAAAGATTTACGCTTATATGGAAGTTATATGATTCTATAAAGTAAGTTGTTAACGGATATTGCTTAGGTTGTTAACGTCCTCTCATTGGGTTGTTAATAGTCGCTGCTGAGGTTGTAAATCGCAATGACAGAAGAAATGTGAATATGAAATATGAGGGGCAGTAATGTCATTTTACAAATCGAAAATATTACTCTAAGGTCCCTTGGAACCTGTCAGTGATTTTGACATTTCGTAGGACCTTATATGAATAAATTACCTTCTGTGGGACCTGTACGTAATTTTTCCTATTTTTTTTCTTTTCCCAGAAGGTGAAATGGCCGGAAAAGCCTTCGCCATTCTTAGGCTTTCTGGATCTACATTTTTTGTCCCCCAAATTATTTTAAAAACCCAAAGAATCTTTAAAATTTGAAGTCCCATGGATCAGTACGAGTCCCTGGAAATGGATGTGAATCCATCTAAAAATACAATGTGTATTATATCATATCACGTATCAATTATCAGTACATCTTTCAAAGTAATGGTGCATCACCGATCGTGCTCACGAAAGTAGTCCTGGTCGTGTTGATGTAATTTAATATATGCGTTACATATGGGAGGGCAAATAATACAAGTACAACGAGGGCAAATTATCAATAATATTTTCTCTCATAAAATTTACACCTCATAACTTTTCCGGAAGTTTGCACCTCCTTGCCATATGGCGGCCCCGTGTCCATGTCGCCTCGGGCCCATCTGCATTGCTTTAAATTTTGATCCAAAGGATGAAAAGATCAACCTTTTGAGCTTTTAAGACGAACTAGAAAAGGATTTCATGAACTGATATGAAAAAATGGAGCGGTATGAGTAACTTGGCATCTTTGACTACATAAAATGGGGCGAAAGGGAAAGGGTGAGAGAGCCTACTTACCAATATACACAACGACTCACATAAAACCGACCCCAAACTTTGAAATTTGAAGGCTAATCGAGGTCGAATTTGATTCTTTTCACCTTTCCACCTATTACTCCTTAAATTACAACCCTCTTGTGAAAGCGAAATGAATGAACAAAACATGCGATACACCATAACGAAAGGCCAAAAATCACAAGGAAGGGAACCATTTTTTCAGATATGAATAAAATAAAAATCGAGGCTAAACGATCATGTTGATGGTTTTCTACCAGCAAACCTCTTCAAAGATTTTGGTAAACCAACTTCCTCGCTCATTTTTCGTTTCTTTCTGGAAATTGCTTCCTCCTTTATGTTTTCTTCCAAGAAAGGCCTCTTCACTTTCTCAATTGCTTCCTTCTTTTTCTTCAGCTTCTTGCTTGGTTTACTTCTTCCTTTAGTTTTTTTCTTCATTTCAATGTCCTTGGCAGCTTCAACAGCAGCTTCTATCTCTGCCTCCCTCTCCATCCTTGTCATCTTCTCCCTCCGTGTAGGCTTTACTGAACCAATTTTGCTTGGGTCCAACATGATCGTCTCAGGCGGCAGCTTATCCAGCAGTGAGCGAACTTCTTTCTCTCTCCTCTGCTTAGAGGTTTCAAATGGATTAGCCACCCATGTATCAAAGTTAGGTTCTCCCGATCCTGGAATAAGAATGCTGGACCAACCCATGGAATGCCCTATGCCAAGAACATCCTCGTATGGTCGAAACATTAACTTTGCTATTTGGTAACCTTTAACCATGGAATGAGTCATATACCTTGAATAATTCTGCGTACCAGAAAGATCACCCAGAACCTGTATAAAAGATCCCGTACCACAAGCAAGCAATCCTTTTTGACTAAAATCCAAGGTGTTGGCATGGCCATGTAGTGTCTGGAGAGCCTCAAATTTCCTCAAGTCCCAAAGCTTTATTTTTTTGTCTCTTCCAGCTGTGGCCATTAAGTGGCCATTTGAGTGAAAAGCCAGAGCTGAGAGAGGACCATGATGGCACAACATCTTGACAAGAGGAGCTGAGCTTGTTGGCTTCCACATTGTGACTCTACCGCCTGAATGACCCAAAGCAACAACCCCATTGAAGGGGTTCACTTGCATCACATCAGTACGGCCTAAACCAGTTCGAATATTACCAACCATTGCACCCAACGTAACATCCTGATAATGCAGCTGCCCAAACTTGTTTATTGAAGCCAGAAGG